GTCTGTCCAATGCCAACACAAATTTTGGGTGTTCCATGTATTTCGGGTGGAGGATTGCCCTAAACTCTAGACCCTAAACACTATAGACCCTAAACCCTAAACCCTAGAAGCGTGACCTGCATAAGGGTTTAGGAAGCTTAGGGTTCAATTTCCTGTGTTAGCTCTCAGTGTGGTGCCACGGTCTGGTTTGTTTGTGAAGCATGAAGCAGCCGGAGTATGCAGAGGAACACGGACAGCACAAACCGTGCATGATCCTTCAATTAAATCCCAAAGGGTCCTAGATATTGCTATGGGGCATACTTCCCCAAGTCATAATCGTCATTCCTATTACAGAAACCCTACATTCTATTATATAAGTCCAACTCTGGGCATCAATGCTAGGCTAGCCCTTGAGCTGAGCTGTAGTAGCATTCTGTGACCATGAACCCTGATGATGGATAGTTCGGACCCGAGAGGAAGAGCGTACGTGTGCGTCTGTACGCATGTGCGTGCACGCATATATAAATAAATACACAAAACAGAATTACTTAAATATTTGTAAGGGTCCATGTACCCAAATAGTATATACCTTGGCCCTAGAGCAATCCCTATATAGGTACTTTGGGGCCAAAGTATATACTGTTTGGGTACATGGACCCTTTTTGTGTAGACATGAAAATACATGTTAATCAAAAAGAAGGCATGTGAGTCCAGGGTCGAGACTTAGTTTAGTTTCCTTCGAAAAGGATCCCATGTGGAGCTCAAGAGCAGCTCACACGGCAGGTGCAGCCCAGTGTTCAGCTGACAGCAACGATCGGCTCGCTGTACTATGTCGCACCCGAGGCAGCTGGTCTTGATTTTTTTTCAATGGGCTGAAGTGTCGTTTGATCAAGGCCGGTGTCCTTTTCAGCTCCTCGGAAGAGTAAGCCAACTTCTTTAAGAGCTCTATAGGCTCTAGACCCTGAACCCTAGACGCTGAACTCTGGACCCTATCCGCTAAACCCTATGAGCCCTAAACCCTAGAACTTGGAACTTCGGGCCTTCTCCTACATCCTGAAATTTCAGGCTTCAGCGTAACAGGGTGCAGGAGAGAGAGCTTTCGGTTTAAACGACATCTGAGGCTCTAAGTAAGTAGACCCCATGTACAGCCCAAGTCTTCAACATGCAACTCCCAATGCAGGCGTTAAGAAGCTTCAGCTGGAAACCCTCAGCCCTATTTGAATTGACATCCGACACCCTAATCATGCCGAACGCTAAGAACCCTAAATACCCCAAATCAGTATATCGTCGTAAATCCTTATAGACCCCTCATTAAGCCTTAGTCATCCTCAATCCTGGTAGACCATGTTCAAAACCCTAAACCTAAATCATTCTAAGTCCATACATAGATCCCTTATAAAACCCTGAAGCCTAAATCTCTAACCCCTATAAACCCGTAGACCCCTAAACGCTGCACTGCACCCAAATCCTTATAAAGCCCTAAACCCGCAAACCGAAAGCCTATATCATCCCATATCCTTATTCGGCGCCTTCTAAAACCCTATTAATCCTTGTCGACTCCTTTTTAGGCCAGCCAGCATCCTGAATCCATACAGATCCTTTCTAAACCCTACAGTAGAAGCCAAAGACTAGGAACGTGATCATCCTCATGCCCTTGAGGTAAAGTACAAGCGATCTTAGCAGTAATCCTCCTAAACCCATGTTCCAACTTTCTGGGACCCTCAACCCTCAACCCTAAACCCTAAACCCTAAACCCTCAACCCCACCAAACTTTTTCTGGGATTCCCTTCAAGCCGGAGAGGTCCTCGAGGGCTCCTATGGTGTTCCTTGCGACATGTGGCCACGACCTTGGACTTACCGGTTCAGGGTTCAGGATTGGATTGAGGGTTTAGGGTTTAGGGTGCAGGGTTCAGGTTTAGGGAGAATTTGGGTGCAGGTGTGGGGTTTAGGGCGCAGGTGATAATTAGTAATTAGGGTCCAGGGTTTCTGGGTTGGGGGCCTAGGTTTCAGGTTTCAGGATTCACGGCTTCTCGTGTTTAAGGAAGATGTGGCCGCGACTGTGGACGAATGCAGTCGATCGCTCTCGCTGCCGGAAAGGGACTCTGACTGTTCGGATTCCTTTACTAAGGGGTGCTATGAGGGTTCCTTTACAGGGTTCTATGCGGCCTTGGATTTTAGGGAGGGCGGTTTTGCTTTTTTGGGCTTGAGGCGAGGGTTTCGGAATTGGGATTTAGTATTAGGCCAATCCCCACATCCACTGGAGGCAAACCACTGAAGCAGGGCTTCATGGCCCAGCCTTGCGGTCATATGATACGCTTCCCGTAAGGTTCCAAGTACCTAATAACTATATACTCTTCTGAATACTAACCTCCAAAACGATTATCCCTAGTACATGATTATTAGGTCCTTTGGACGCTTGGGGTTCCCTAAACCCTAAACCTTAGACCCTAAAGGGTTTAGGGTTTAGGGCCCCTAAACTCTCAGAGCCGCGCTCGAAATCCTAGTCCAGTCCTGGGCACTCAACCCCGACCCCTCGCAGGCAAGTAGGTCCTCTACGAAGCAGAATAACAGCGGTTTAATTAGGGTTTAGGGTTT